ATTATTTTTTGAGGAACGATCATAGTTTCAAACCAAAAATCAAATATGGTTAGATGCGCAATAAAATTCTCTATCGAACTCCCTATTCAGCTTTTTGATACTTTCAAATTTTTAAATCCGGCAGGGTTCTTTCTCTTGATACAGGTTCATATTTTTTTAGTTTTTTCTCTTTTTCTTCATATGTGTATATTTTTTGTGAGGCAAAATGGAATGTAAATGAGTTAGACGCAGTTTATAATGATTATGTAAATTTTCTTTCTCTTGTTATTACACAGTGCACGGTTTATTTTGTTTTTGACCAAAATGTAACTGAAAGTGAAGAAGAACTGGCACACATTGATAGCGTGCGAACCAATTGAGACGACAAAAACAATTTTAATTCTTTTCTTAACAACTTTTTTCAACACGCATTACCTTACTTGTCAACTCACTATTGCCGGTTCTTCTCTACCTAAACGAAATAGCACGGATACTTGATATTAACGATCTCGGTTTTCTAGAAATTGTTTGCTACACAATATTTATTTGAAGGAAAATATGATATGATTGTAGACTACTCTCTCTCTCTAAAAGTCGTCTTCAAAAAACGAAAAGGAACCTAACTATAGACTTTAGGAATTAGAGGTTCTATACACGCATAAAATGTTCTTAAGCGATGAGATGGGATAGCCCAAATCTTCGTTCCGCCCACCTCTGGTGCGAGACATGAAGAATTGAAAACTAAGCGTCGAAACAATGAAAAGTGAAACATGATGTCTTTCTATTCTAATCTTGGTCAGACCGAGCTCTAATGACCGCTAATCGATGCAACGTACATAGGATATTGTTACCCATATTTCTGGATGTAATAAACGTTCTTTAGAACTTAGTTAGAAAATTATATTAGTGACAGTTTAGGAAGTAAAACGGTATTACTTCCAGAACCAGTTTAACCCCATGCCTGTTTTACAATTACGTCATAATGATACTCATGATTCAGACACCGGCAAAATTAGAAGAGCATGGAAAAGCAATATTAACAGTCTGAAAGTTATCGATGATCAAATTCGAAGAATGCTGTTACTTAGTGACTATTGCCAATTAAGTTTGAAAAATACTCGAACATAAGTTCATCAATAAAATTAAAATGTAGCCCAATTGAAGGAACTATATACTCTTCGTTCACTAATGCAGATGTGAGGAGAATAATGTCGCTCTGACTTCTCACGTGTCTGTCTTTCGTATTCAGACATTGGACTGTTGTTGAATCATGAATCATTTTCTCCTTTGCTCGTTTTCAAACCCCCTTTTGTATCTTACTTTTCTTCGTTCTTCTGATTTCGTTTCTCCAACATATTTACTTTTTGGCTTCTTCTGTTTGACGTCTTATTTGTTTTCTTTTAATCTCTTCAAGCATGTCAGACAGCGGTCACGACAAATCACTACGCTCGCAAGCCATTGCCGAATCAATTTTAAATCATCTGTTTCTTCCACTTTATCTGCCGTCTTCTGCGAATGATGATTATTTAATTCAACACGATCATCGAAATGAATACAAGTTACTGGAATGTATAATAGAATTCCTCAAGTCATTAGAAAAAAAATTGACTTTACCGACTTTTTCGACTCTGATTAATTGCATTGAATCTTACTTTTCTTCGTTCTTCTGATTTCGTTTCTCCAACATATTTACTTTTTGGCTTCTTCTGTTTGACGTCTTATTTGTTTTCTTTTAATCTCTTCAAGCATGTCAGACAGCGGTCACGACAAATCACTACGCTCGCAAGCCATTGCCGAATCAATTTTAAATCATCTGTTTCTTCCACTTTATCTGCCGTCTTCTGCGAATGATGATTATTTAATTCAACACGATCATCGAAATGAATACAAGTTACTGGAATGTATAACAGAATTCCTCAAGTCATTAGAAAAAAAATTGGCTTTACCGACTTTTTCGACTCTGATTAATTGCATTGAACGTTGGTCTGTCATACAGAATCCTAAAAACTGCTCTGTATCGAATTTACAATTGACCATTGAACAACTAGCACCAGGGGATTTTCTTTCGCTCTATTTTCATGCTCAAAATGCTGCAGTTTTGATTGAAATTGATGAAAATTCCCTCAATCAACCATTGGTCTCATCGTGGCAAGTTTTATTACCAATACAAACAGTAACCTCGTCTCTAGAACCTCATATTTCCTGCTTTCCTGTGCCAATATTTCGATTGTCCAATAGAACTCAGTTGAGCTCTCGAGTCCATTGTGAATTGCTGGTGGATTTTATGAAAAATACAATTGAATATTCAAAATCTTTCAAATCATCTTGCTCATTCAATGAAATACGTGACGTACCAGTAGCACATTACGTGTGCGAGTGGTGGATCATGCAGCTTCAAGGAATAAAAATTGAAAACAATTCCAATCCTTGCTATCAATTTAAGAAAAAACATCGTGATCATATCCGATGGAATAGTGCCCAGTTGCCTTTTCGACGTTCCGGTTTATGGATGACCATCAAGGTAGTTCTTCATACGATTTTAAACAAACGTTTGGGAAACATTGGTCACATCGTTTATAAATTGTTGATCACTTCTTTTCTGACACATATCATTTTCACGCAACACAATCCAACCGATTTATTGATGCATTGCATTCGAAAAATTGTACGACGATTGAATAAAATTGAAGTCTTACTGTCATCTACAAATTCGAACGATATGAACGAATGGATTCGATACATCAAAGAAGAAATAAAATTAAAGATTGATCGTATTTTTCCAAAGTCTGATTTTTCAAAATCCATTGAAATGAATGAAAAAACGAACAAATCATGGTCAATATTTCGCAGGCAACTCGATCATATTCAGGTCTATCAGCACTCATGTACAGAATTAAAAGCTTATCTGAATACCCATCGTTCGAATGAACCATACAACATGTTCTCATGCGCCAGTAACAGTAATGATTCAACACTTTCGAACGTGAATCAAGTCGATTACATACCGTCCATAGAAGTTTTAACGAACAAATGCAATTATTCGATTGGAATATCCTTAACTCGTGTAGAAATCTGGGTAGGATCTTGCTTAAAACAATGGATCAATGGCCCGTCATCATCTAACATTCAGGAAAATCGTTTCGATATTTTATTACATTTCTTCGAGAATTATCAGAGTGTTGCGCTGAATCACTATTGTCCGAATGCAAATTCTACAGATTCCATTGGTTACAGTCGTTTTATTCTAACATCGTTAACCATCATTTATTTCATGCATAAAAAATTATGTCATGATGAAAGATTTGAACGACTGAAATTCCATACTATTGATATTCCCAATCTACTAAACCTATTTGAATATTTAATTTTACCAAATCGAGAAGATATGATTCGAGCTCGTGGTCTCTATGATTATTTTAGTCAATACAAACAAAAACCATATCCCGATCTTTTCAAAGATATAGAATCAGGAAATGCGTTCGGCGTTGATTTTGCCGCGCGTTCAGCGTCGATGAGTGACAGTCTACGAAAAATTCGAGCTCAGTCTGAACGAGACAAGCAAGACAAGATACAGGAAGTGAACAATGCCAAAGAAAGATATCGACAGCTCATAGATACAGCCAGTCGTTTTGAATGCGAATGTCGTATCTATCGTTATAATAGGCAGTGCGACCTATGTTCAATTCTAAAACAGGCAAACAATATTCAAGTGCACATTTACGAATGTCCCGTACCATCCAGTCATGAGAGTTCATTGGCGGTTATTTTTGAATTACAGATGCCCATTGAAATGAGATGTTATCGAGATATTGTTTGGCAATTTATCAATCGTCTTCATTCACAACCGCAGAATAATATGTATGAATGGTTAAAAGTTCCTCCTCATGCTGGGAAGCTGAATCCATTCTATTCTGGGCCAACTAATTGCAAAGTAAAATTAGTATCCTCTACTAAATCTATAACGCAAACTCATTATTCAACTCCACCGTCAATCACATCTACACCTGTAGAAGAGTTCTTGTACGAAAATAGTCTACTAGTTCAAATCTCTCCAACTAAACCGATTAAATTCGAGAGTGAATGTTGTATGCTAACACCTCAACTGAATCATCCAGATTACAAACATCTACAATTTACGATTAGCAACACACAATTCGTACAGAATAGTGTGATCGCTCAATTATCAAATTGTCCACTACGAATGAAACCTGCGCAACATGTGGAATTCGGTTCATTTCGTTCAGGTCATCGTTTACAATGGTGGAATCTTTTGTCCGTTTTAGAAATGGAATCCTTAGCCATCGATGAAGAAAGCGTCGTAATATTGATTGCACATTCACTATGGCAATATGGTCCAGTGACAGCGCATGGCAATACGCTTGTTAGTTCATGGTGTCCAGAATCCCATCAACAATTATTAGAAGATCATTTTGTCGATGAATTGATCTTGAGATTGAATCGTCGTTTAGATAATTGTGAATTTAATTGGCAAAACGAATTGCTCTTAGTAGTCATTACGATAATAACAATGAGAATATTGGTCATTTGTAATTCGACACAAGAAAGTCAGCTTGCCGTTCTGGCTTTGCGATGTCGTCAAGTTGGTGAAAAATGGATTGAACTCATTTCGGAAAGTATTCAAACTATATTAACCAATCTTGATCAAGTAGGAATTCTACGTGACAAAATAGCAATTATTAGTCTTGCCTGTCTATTCACATTTTCAGTCGAATCAGATCGCATTCGCTCCGTATTATCATCGAATGAACATGTCGTCTCGTTACTCAAAGCAACCACTACTATTCATGATAATATGATTCTGAACAAGAATCAAACGAATATGAGTGTTTTCATGAGAGATATGATGCGAATGCGTGAACGTGTGTTAGTAAGGATACAGCCATCAGTAGCCTTATTCATTGAAAAAACATCATATCGAAGTTTGAATGAATTTTCTGCGATCTACTGGGCAATGATCCGAAGCAAAAGTACGATGAATGCAAAATGGAAGAAGCGAAAGTTAGATTTTTATGATGGTTGGTATGATGGTCAATATGAAACGGCGATGATATCAATTGATTGCATCAGTGGAACATTTTTAGTCAATGGTATGACTATTGGATTTTTACCGGAAAAAATTACTTCAAATCCATTATTTGTTCGTGTATTTGACCATCACATCTTTGAAGTACAAGCGACTCAGTCCCACAATACTTACATTACGAAGCATGCGTATCATGGCAATGGAAGAGTCCGATATGAATTCCATTTCGATGATCGAACTCAGTGCTTGACAATTCATGAATGGCACATCGAAACAAACGAAAAGTTTGAACTGATTTCTCATACTTACTTTGAGAAGGAATTACCAGATGCGTTCGTCTCCAATCACAGTCATTGGAGGAATACAAAAACGCAACAAATCGTATTTCGACCTGTTCATTTTAAAGATAGCGATTTTTTAGAGAACAAACCCTACGTATTAACAATGGAAACTGGGTTTATTACCACTACTGAGACTGTTCAAGCACAGATTCTAGTTAATCGATCATCAGAATTCTTCAAAAATTTGTTTAGGCAATACTTTATTCGTCTTGATGATGAGCCCTATGTCTATATGTTGAGAGAGGATGCTTCACATATCATTCAGCAATTTCAATCATCGCAACCAAATACCACTGTTCACATCCATTTATCTCGTTTAGGAATTGCCTTCACATACGATGCTCAGCAGAATATCATCACATCTCGTGAATATTCTGACATGTGTATTGATGAAGATCAATGGTTAGGAACATTAAGTGGTTTACAATCTGGTCTCCTCTTATCATCACTGTCAGCAATCCATCAAAGACGAGGACACTATAACTGTCGAAAATGGATCGTACCCTATGGGAAAATTCATCCCCATCGAGCAAAAGATAAAAGTCAAATCGGGATTATACAACGAGCACCACCATCGACACCATTTGTTCGTAAATATTTTGTTTTTATTTTGAATGATCGATTACGTATTCTTCAATCGACTGATAGTCCAACAGGATGGCTCTATTTAGCATTGTTACATGCTATGACATCTCATCCTCTACCGGATCAATATACTGGAATGACTGGAATGGAACGTTCCTTTCAATTATTAAATTCGGCCGGCTGTTGGGCTGATCAACCTTTTGATTCACTTTCTCTAGATATTCTTCGTCAAATTGCGACCATTTCGCCAAAAGCGAATTATTATCCAACACATCTCACTTGTATGGAAAAAGTGGATTGGAATTCGCATTGTTTACCTTATTCCATGCAACATTTTGGTTATTATTTGATAGTGAAAAAGTTAATCGATACGAGTCAGCAACTGAATTTCATGCATCCATCATCCTCGACGTCCAGTGAAACGTCGGAATGGCTTTTAAGCCATCAATACAATGAAAAATTATTAGCAAAACTGTATTTGGATTATCGAGATTCATACAATCCTACAGTTCGATTATCCGCACAGATGGAAGCAGAGTTCCTGTGCACAAGTCTAGCTAAACCATACCAACCGATTCGGGAAAGTTGTTCGTATGAAACGAACTACAGTCCTATTCGTCTTGTGGATTCTTTGTATCGCAGTGGAAATGTAGATCTGAAAGATATTTCGAACCTGAATTGTTTTCCTTTGTCCCGATGGGTAACTAATGAATATCAACTAAAAAATATTTGGATTGGCTTATTGAAATTCGCTTACCAGCTTAAAACAGGAAAAGTTGACAATCGTCGGATCGAAATGAAACGATTTGAAATGCTGTTAGATTTTCTTCATTACATCTCTGCCAAATGTTCCATCAAACCGTTTTATTTGCAAATGCTGAAGACCGTATTGAAAGTATCAACCATACCATTGGGAGCTATCTCATATCCTCCATTTGTTCAATATGAAAATATCGAGGAAATTTCAGTTCAACCGGAACGCATCAAATTTCCACGAAAACTTGCTCGTTCTAATCAACCCAAAGCTCTAGCAGAAGTCGAAGATTGTTTTGCTAAAAATTCTATCTATCAAAATCAGAGTTTCCCGGAGAGGGGCATCGACACGTTTGCAATCAACAGGTTATTAAAATCTTGGCGATCAAACAGTGAACTACGTTCATTTTTAGAAAATGTTCAAAGTCAGTTCTGTTCGGCTACAATAGAGCAGTTAAATATCAAAGTACCAGTTGATACTCAACAGTTTGCAGTCGAATTATTTCAAGATCACTATCAAATACAACTTACTTCGAAAGATAAATCTATCGATCAAAAGTTGCTTGAGAGTGCAGCACAAAAATTTCTGCATCCTCATTCAGGCTATTTTATCAAACCAACAGTATCTATTCAAACTATAAATCAGCGGAAAGCATTTCCCGACGAAATTTTTCCTTCCAAAAGTTCTCTCAGTGATATTGCCAATCATTTTAAGAATCAGTTAACTGAAAGTTGGGAGAAGCTTCTATCGTCTGAAGAATACCGAAAAGAATATCCCTCCATTAAGGAAATCAACACATTTCTGAATTTTGTTCGCCAAGAATCTATACAATTCTGGAATGAATTGGTGAAATCCGTCACATTACCCAATAAACTGTTATTCAAAACAGGTATGGTATTACGAATCATACCGACAACTCTTATATCTGTCTTTCAACAAATATGGTTAAATGAAGAACAACAACAACTCGATGGATCGGATTTCTCGTCCTTAGGAGTGGTAGTTAAGGCCCGAAAATCGCCACCGTTGTTCTTGACAATTAAGCAACGTACACTACTTGGTGGCACCATGGTCAATTGGATTGTAGAACAGCAAATTGAGAGAGCTTTGCATTTTGCCAGCCACAAGAAATGGGAAGATTTTGAAAAAGAAATATCGAATGTACCTCATGTGAATTGGACACCATCCAAGCATGTTCCATGGCTAATCATGGAACTCGAAATGAATATTACGATTCGAAAAATACAAACTGAAGTCGCACGCCATATGATACAGCCAAAGATGATCAAAAACAACTCTACAATACAAAACACTGTTATGCAAATGAATATGGGCGAAGGCAAAACTTCGGTCATTTTACCGATGTTAGCGCTCAGCTTAAGTTCGTCGTCTTCGAGTTTAGTTCGTGTTATTGTACTGAAATCATTATTTCCAGTGAATTATCAATCGTTACGATACAAATTAGGTGGTCTTCTGAATCGACGTGTACTATCATTTGCTTGTCGCCGCGATATGAATTTCAGCGATGCTCAAGTCAATCAAATCTTCGATCGTCTCAAACAAGGATTAAGCAATTTCGATGTAGTACTAACTTCACCAGAAGATATTCTATCGTTTGATTTGCTCACAATAGACAAATGTCGACGAAATGAATTTGATATTGGTCGTTCGATGTTGTCAGTTCAACGTTGGTTAAAAATATTCGCTCGTGATGTTTTGGATGAATCAGATGAAATTTTACACGTTAAATATCAATTGATTTATACGGTTGGTGGTCAACAACAAATCGATGGAGGTTTGGAACGTTGGAAGACCATTCAATCGGTACTGAACTTAGTTAAACAACATGCTGCAAACATCGCACAACAGTACAGCAATGAAGTTTCCTATAAACCATCGCGACACAAGAGTCGTTATCCACGATTTCGTTTACTATCCAATCTGCCGTTTCCATTCTTGTGTAGAAAAATAGCTCATGATTGGCTCAATGAAAAACATTATCGCCAAGTAGATCAACAACTCATCTCGGATTTTATTTTAGAAACGAACTCATCAATCGATTGTCTAATCAATCGATTTCCACACAATGCTATTCAGCTATTTCTCATTCTCCGTGGTTTGTTATCATCCGAAGTTCTGTTAGTTGCTTTCAAGAAGCGATATCGAGTGAATTTTGGTGTGAATCCAAATCCGTCTTTTGATCGTTTCATGGCCGTACCATTTCGTGCGAAGGATGTGCCTGCCGATAAAACTGAATTCGGTCATGTTGATGTGGCCATTGTATTAACACAGCTCTCGTATTATTATTCTGGTTTAAATGATTCACAAATACTGCAGTGTTTCAATCTTTTGAGTGAAGAAGAACGTGATCCTGAATCGATTTATGAAGAATGGATTTCGAACGACGACGAAGATAAAATCCATGCAAGTATTAAACAATGGAAAGGTATCAATTTAAAAGATTATCGACAACGAACCCGCTATCTCTTTCCGACTCTACGATATAATATGTTTATCATCAACTATTTTCTCAATCATTTTGTATTTCCTCGAGAAGTAAGACAGTTTCCTCATAAATTGGTTTCCTCCGCTTGGGATTTATCCTCACCATCACGATCGAAAATTATAACTGGATTCAGTGGTACCAATGATACACAATTGATACTACCTATTCATATCTGTCAGTATGATTTACCCGAGCTTCGAAAAACCGATGCAATCGTCGTCAATAATCTTTTAAGGCCAGAAAATGAAAATTATCAATTTTTACCAATTAATGCAACCACGAGCGATATCTTAACAGAAATTGTAAATTATAAATCAAGTATTCAGGTTATTTTAGATGTTGGTGCACTGTTGGTCGATAGAACAAATTGTGAAATAGCTGTCAAATGGTTAAATATGTCCGATAAAACCAAGATCGATTATGCAGTTTACTTCGAATCGGATTCAATTGTTGCTTGTGATCGTCAATTCCATCGTCATTTATTTTTAACATCTCCTGCTAGTGAACGACTCGATCGTTCTGTGGTTTATTTAGATGAAATTCATACGAGAGGAACTGACTTCAAATTTCCGAATGGATTTCGGGCTGCTGTAACGTTAGGAAGTGGTTTAACGAAGGATCGTTTAGTTCAAGCCTGTATGAGGATGCGAAAATTAGGACATGATCATTCATTGTCATTTTGGAGTTCGAATGAAGTTCATCAACAAATTCGAACGCTGAAAAAAGATTCAGGTCGGAAAAAAAACCAAGAAAGAAATACCAGCAATCAAAACGATCGAATTAGTCTGACTGATATTCTTCGTTGGGTCTATGAGAATACTCAATGGGCGACTTGGGATGGATTTCATCACTGGGCTACACAAAGTTTAAGTTTTCAACGAAAAGTCGCTGCATTTCGAAACATACAGTGGCAGAATCTTCAACAATCGTTTACGAATACGATGATGCAAGAGTTGGCTAGAGAATGTTTGGAACCTGAAATAATTGAATTAAAACGAATGTATGGCGCGTCTAAAAAAATGCAAACAGTATCTGCTATTTATTTAGCTCGATATCGACAGTCGAATATCTGTTCATCAGTAGAAATTCACAACAATGTATCAAAGCAATTATGCAATTATAGTGGATCAGAAAAACGTCTAGCACAATTGTTAGATGAAGAGCAAGAACGAGAATTAGAACAAGAATTGGAAGAAGAACAGCAACATGTGCGTCCTCCATCGGTTAGTCCCTGTAAACCGATTCTACACAACGAAATTAAGAGATTCTGTGACACACACGATGCGAAAATGAATTTAAATCAATTGACATCTGTATTTCGTCCCTTAGCACATGCTTTCATGGACACTACATTGTTCCAAGACTGTCAACCGAACAGTTGGCAACGAAATCTCTGGATATCTACAGAACTTCAGCGCGTTATTCAGACCGAAGGAGAATCATTAGATCCATTTCTACGTCCACCCCGATGGATTGTGATCTATCGCGGTGAAGATATTATTTTTGTGAGCGCATTTGAAGCCAATTGGTTGATAGGTCGCTTAAATAGCCTTTATCATCAGCAAAAGTCTAATCGCTCATTAACCACAACATTACGCTTATTGTTACCTCGTACGAAGCGAAATCAATCGATTTTTATCAATACACCAACTCTAACGATTCCTCCATCAATCGTGCCTTCGAAGGACCCTATTTTTATTACCATACCAGTGGAGCGATTGGCTGAATTATTTATATTTAACGGCACACTTTATTTCGAAACTGTTCACGAGCAAAAAGCTTATTGCGAGTTTTTAGGTATCTGTCCGAAACCCCGAACATCGATCGAAGAAGATGCTTTTGAAAAAGGGTGGGTTGCTGTCGATGGATTTGTGACGAAACCGAAACATCGTTGTCATTTACACATTGCTCAGTGTCGTTTCACGTCTAGTCCACTGAAATTCGTGAAACAATTAGTTGAAAATCGAAATAATTCACATGCACCTCTCATGTCCCATGTTGGGAGTATTATTTTCAATGCCACCAAGCTCTTTTAACCTTATTTGGGTGAATCAGTTTGAATATCATGGGGATAAACGGTACAATCGTAGAGGTCGTGAAAAAAAACACTTGAAATTGACATTTTCTATGCACAAGTGAACGGTATAATATTGAATAAAAGAAAAGATTAGAATAAAAAAAGAAGCAAACACTCATTCGTAAGGAAAAATATAATAAAATCAGATCTAGATTCGAATTTTTGTCCGAAGATTCCTCGCTGACGAATTCCTATTGGATATTGTAGGGCGCCTGATCCAACGATGCCCGACCGATAGGATCCAATGATTTCCGACAATCAGAACGCATTGGATCGATCAGGGATCCGACAGGATCCTATCGGATTTTCTAAAGAACGGACACGGATCAGCACCACCAACTCCTTCGTACGGATTCTCTATAGTCACACCATATACCACCATCTATAAGAAATTAGCCCATGTTAGTTAGTAAAACGTCAAAAAGCTATGAAAAAAACCCTTGAAAGTCTTTGAGTTTCCGAGAAAATTTGATTGTTGTTGAAAGGTGCAGCGCCAGTTTGGTCCAGTGCAAATGATACGGGATTGGGCCAACTTCTTAAACAAATTTCTCATGAAACAATTTTGATACTCTAATGCACGTTAACATGCATTAAAGACAAAACTCAGTGAATGAGCGCACACGAGTTCATTGCTATTGAATGCGTACAAACGCGTTAGTTTTCGAACTTACGTGGGACTTGAAAAATCTAGGAATTAATCTGAACACGTTCGAACACACTCTTATAAGAAACAGATGAGAACACAGTTTAAACTCGTTACTCAGGCAAATTAAGAAGTTCCAATGCGTTAGGAAGTAGCCTAACCCATTAAAACCGCGTTAAATGTTTCATATTGGGTGATTCTAACGACTTAGAGTGTGTAACGCGTGCTAACGCTTTTCCCAATCGTAATTGAAGTGTTGTTTTTCACATTATTCAAGATCATATATGCAGAAGTATAACTTCACGACAATCTTCTGCTTTATTCTTTGGGACATTCTATTCGTTAATTCATGTATTAGATTTCTAGCATAACTCCTTCAAGTGTTCAAAGTATATAACGTAATCTATTCTGATGGACGAACACATCAAAACAAAATGTATACTTCGGTCGAATATCAAACCCAGTGACATCATGGAGAACCTGCGCTTGCCGGAAGTTCAACCTCGACCAATCAAACAGTCGCAAAATATAACAATCACTCCGCAAACAACCTAAACCACGTATTACGTACATTTATTATATCCAGCGTAGTTAGGGTATTTGAACGATTAGGATATTTCGGGTATTTAGGATATTTAGGATATTCAGGATAATTAGACATTTAGGATATTCAGGATAATTAGACATTTAGGATATTTAGGATATTTAGGGTATTTCCATCTTCAGGATATTTAGCATATTTAGGACACTTAGAATATTTCGACTATTTAGCATATTTAGGATATTCCGGATACTTACGATATTTAGGATATTTAGGATATTTAGGAAATTTAGGATATTTAGCGTATTTAGGATATTTCCGGTATTTAGGATACATAGGATATTTAGGATATTTAGGGTGTTTAGATATTTAGGGTATTTAGGATACTTTAGGATACTTAGGATATTTAGGGTATCTAGATATTCAGGATATTTAGGAGATTTACGGTAATTAGGGTATTTAGATATTTAGGATATTTAGGATATTTAGGATATTTAGGGTATCTAGATATTCAGGATATTTAGGAGATTTACGGTAATTAGGGTATTTAGATATTTAGGATATTTAGGGTATCTAGATATTCAGGATATTTAGGAGATTTACGGTAATTAGGGTATTTAGATATTTAGGATATTTAGGATATTTAGGGTATCTAGATATTCAGGATATTTAGGAGATTTACGGTAATTAGGGTATTTAGATATTTAGGATATTTAGGGTATCTAGATATTCAGGATATTTAGGAGATTTACGGTAATTAGGGTATTTAGATATTTAGGATATTTAGGATATTTAGGGTATTTAGGATACTTTAGGACTTTTAAGGTGTCTAGATATTCAGGATATTTAGAATATTTAGGATATTTAGGGTATCTAGATATTCAGGATATTTAGGATATTTAGGATATTTAAGATATTTAGGGTGTTAATTGGATTTCAGTTAAATTAAAATTATGCGTCATTGACACATATTCTGTTGGTTGGTCATTTATTTGGGAATATCGAATACAAATTTAGGAAGAATAAACATGATTATCTAAAACTAGGTTAGTGGTTGAGAAGGAATGGCTTTTTGATCATAAATTATTGAACCTCGCACGTTTCTATAGATGACAAAAGTATAATATTTTTGGGTACATTGAGGATTTTTTTATATTTGTTATTAATTCTAGGGAAAAATTATTTCTTTGAGGCAAAAACGACCAAAAGTGATTTTGTCTCTTTGTAAACATGAACTCACTTTTACTTGTCGTCTCACAAAAGTTGTGTTCAGCGAAGTGAAGCGTCAAAAGTTTCTAAAAAACCGGTTTCGTACAAAATCATATAACGGTTCTTCTTTAGGTTTGCTTCATTAGCAAACCGCTTTTCTAAGTATTTGATCCTTATCTGTATTCCTATGTGTAGGACATGATCAATGTTCTTTAGTTATTGCGAAAGGTTCTGTGGATCCACCGGAGATTTTTACTCCAATTATTCTGTTGTCCTGAATCGAGCAGTATCTTTTTTAGAAGCAGATGGCGGTGGTGAAATAATTGAAACAAGTGCATATAATTTTACATTCAACAAAGGAATTGATTATATAGCGGCAATAAGAGGTGGTACATTACCAAGGCATATTCAAGACTTTTATGCAAAAACTGCTGAAATATATCCAAGATATTGTGCTTTATTGCAATTGTATCGAAATTCAATGGCCGTATTGGAACAAATAAAAGATAATATTAATTTCGACGATGGTTATCGTGTGGGTCGTGTTATTGATCGTGCGTTCATCGATTTAGTTCAGTTGCACATTGAACAAATGTTTTATTCAAACTCGGAATTAAATGACAAGAATATGCCGATTTTATATATTGAAAAATCAACCTGTGTCGATGCCTGGTTGTGGTATGACTATTTATTTAGTACATCACTGGGATTATTTAATTTGGATGAAGATAAAATCAATCGTTTTCTAACAGAAAAGCAATGTATTCAAAACGAAAAAATAGTAGAAGGAATAAAAGGAAAATTACTATTATTATTTCCGTATAATTTATTCACAAAAACAATATTGACGAATAACGATCCATCAACCAATAAAAACGGTCCATTTCACAATAATTATCATTTGGCTGATACGGCGTTGAATAAATTAATTGGCGATGGCTTAATACAACAATACAGATGGCTGATGAATGGACATAAAAAAACAAGAATATCCTATATGAAAACAATTGTACCACAAAGTCAAGCAGAACGTGATAATTTTGAATAAAATTTAAAAAAGTACAATGTTGCATTGCAGCAATATGAATCAGTCTATGAAACATCGTCAAAACCAACAACAACTTTGCTGTCGCCACACAGTGGGCAATTTTCACTAGGCACGTGGACTTTTGGCCTGCAAGCTAGAGGAAAATTTAAAAGCGCGTTTTCCATAGGTTATCTTGTGTGCTCTATCTAATCGAGTGCTTTTCGAATTCTAAAAAGGTTTTATAAGTGGTTTTCCAGAGATCCGGTCTCTAGCAAACCACTCAGAAAACCTTTAAAAAACTCGAAAACAATTGTATTGGAT